TTTTGAAATAATTTTTTTTATAAAATAAAAAATATTATTTTTTATCATTTTTTAATTTTTTTTTTTTTTTTTTTTTTTTTTTTTTTTTTTTTTTTTTAATATTAAAAAAATGTTTAAGGAAAAATAATAAATAGTAATGAAATGTGGTGGGGGATTCCCGCGGATAAAAAATAACACTAATAATAGCAATAATAGCAATAGCAATAATAGTAATAATAGTAATAATAGTAATAATAGTAATAATATTAATAATATTAATATTAATATTTAAAAATAGAAATGGTTTGTGTGTTTTTGTTTGAAGGTGAGAGAAACATAATAAAGATTAACCAAAAATTAAATTAATTGGTTCTTGTTACATTTATGGATAATTGAAATTGCGGGGTAAGCCATATCAATCTGTCAAACTTGTCAAACTAAAGATCATGTGATTGATTAATAATTAGGACGACAAATGAGATGATTGATTGATTGGTGTGTGTTAATAATAATCACTGAAAGTTGATGATTGTAACATATATACACATATAGCACGGGGAGGAGATATTTGTAATCCGTGTACATGTATGCGTGGTAGTGATGTTTGCAGATTAAAGTTGGTGTTAATCAATTAATCAATTAATCAATCAGTCGGGGTTCGGCCGTTTATTTGGCAAAATAAATCAATCTCCTGATTAAGGAAAGGACATTCCACACGTACACGCGCACGCATTAGGTTATCTATATTTAACAAACGAAGACCAAACGAATTTAAACTTTAGAGTTATAATGATATAATGAGACTAAATAAAGTTTTTTTTGTTATCAAGGTTTGGTTTAACCAAGAATTGATCGTTGATAAATAAGTAAATGCATATTACATATATGTGTGTGTATATTTGATACATGCCCGAGAATAACAACAAAAATAATAAGTTGGATGGTTTGGTTTGGTTTGGTTTGGTTTGGTTGGATAGTTTATAAATCATTGAAAGTTTAATTTAGAGCTTCTCTTTAGAAAATTGAAAGTCACCTTAATCGTAAAAATATTGACTTATCAACTAGTTAAAAAAAACCCAAAAAGTTGAATACTTTTTAAGTTAATTAAATATTAAATTAAGTTAATGATTAGGAGTGAACATTAATTATGGTGTAACCATCCAAATATGTGTGCTTAAATAATCATCTTAAAAGTTAATTGTTTTTAATGAATTTTAATAATGATGGTGGATTAAAAAAGTAGTAAATGAGAAGCACAGGACCCTTTCTTCTTTTTTTTTTTAACAACAAAAAAAAGACAATCACACTTTTTTTTACTTTGTTTCAAATAAAAAATTTTTTATTATTATGTAGTTTTTATTATATTTATTATATTATAAAAAAAATATTGAAAATAAAATTAGGTAAAAATTAAAATTAAGAGTAAAAATAAGTAAAAAAAAAAAAAAGTTATATACAACATTTTTTTTTATTATTCTATATTGTGTCAAAAAAAGTGTCTTCTAACCAACCATAAAACGAAAGCAAAACGAACTAATAAAACTAGTAGTAGAAGTAGTAGTAGCAGTAAGTGTGATATAATATATAATAAGCATAGTTGTGAGATTATTGATATAATTTCCTCAAAAAAATAAAAAATAAAAAATAAAATAAATTCATAAATCATATATATTATATAGTCATATAATTAATCATAATTTCTTAATCTTCATCTCTTTTGTTTGTTTGTCTTAAAATCTTAATTGTTTTTTTGAGGAAATTATTCAAATGAAAATATTATTATTATTAAGAAAAAAATAAAGAAAAAAAATTTGAAAGTAATAAAAAAAAAAAAAAGAGCTAATTTGAAAGAAATAAAAAAAATTGATAGCACAATTATTATTACTGTCTATTTAATGCAAATGGATGATGATAAATGATGTTGCTGTGGTTGATGCATGCAATAACTCTATTATTTAGTAGCTTGCTACGTCATATGCAAGTGTGCTCCTCAAATTATTTCCCCGACGCTTACTAATAAGTTCATCAAACGCCTGCATTTTCTCTTCGTATTCAGCTTTCTTGGCCTTCAAAAGTCTTTTCTTGCTATTTTCATGACAATTAGAGACCGAGGAACGTCTTTGCATTGAAGCCGATCTGATAATACTTGACCCATTGGTTTTTGTTGTTGTTGTAGTTGAAGTAGGCATATTTTGTGATGATCTCTGCCCAAATTGATTATTATTAGCATTAGGAGAAGGCGGATATGAATAGGAAAATGATGATGATGAAGATGATGATGTTGGTGAAGAGGAAAGAGAGGATGTTGAAGATGATGATGAGGATTTGAAAGTGGTGATTGGTTCGCCAATTCTATATTTAGGAGAATCTGACAAATCTAGAGCAGAGATTGCTGCACTCCATTCATAATCAAGATTATAAGATTGTTGAGGGGATACTGAAGAACTTTTCTTATTTGGATTAAGGAAATTGAGTAATTTTGTGATATTGGTTCTATTGTTTTCCATTAGTTTTTTGTGTGGAAGAGAGGATTGTATGAGAGAGATAATTGAAAATATTTATAAGAAAAGGTTGAAATTTGTGTTTTGCGTGAAGAAGATGAGAGAGAAAATAAATAATTATTATTATAAATAATAATAATTATTATATATAACGTTGAAAATATATTATATAATGAATAATATATATAATAAAGATTGGTAGTGATAAAAAATTATTGTCTTGAAATAATTTTTTTCGAAAAAATTTTAATAAAAATTTTTATTATTTTTATTTTTTTTTTATTAAAGAAATATTGTTTTTTTTTTCTTTTGGTTAATTTACGAAACTTCAGGCTTGTATTTATATAAATTTATTTTATATTATTAAATTATTTTTTTTATTTTTTTTATTTTAAAATAAAAAAAAAATTTATTTATTTATATCATGTATTTTAAAAAAAAAAAAAAAATTATTTTTAAATGAAATAAAAAAAAAAATTTTATTTATGTATATTTATATTTTATTTATTTATAATTTACTTTTTTGTTTATAATATAAATGATTATTAGAATGTTTTTAAAATAAGTAACAAAAAAAAAATTTTTTTAACACAAAATAATAATATTATTAATAAGAAAAAGTCGCACATAATAATAATCTCTTTTGGGAATTTTTTTTTTATTATTAAAAAAAAAAAAAAAAAGAAAAATAATTTTTTTTTTTTAATCATCATACGATTTTATTAATTTGGTTAAGATCATATCATACGATTAATTCGACTAGGAAAATGTTAATAAACATCAAACTTGAAATTTATTTTACCACCAATTTTTGGTTACTATTTTGAATTTCTTCTTTTTCGGCCTGGAATTATTATTATTATTATTATAATAATTTATTTAATATGATTGATAAACATAAACACATGTATTGATAGTAAATATCCATATACCTATACTATATACTCTTTATTGCGGGAGTTTTCTTTACGTTTTTTCTGTGTTTGTTTGTTTGTTTGTTATTATTATTATTATTATTATTATTATTATTATTATTAAATTTATTCTTTTTCTTTTCCTTTTCCTTTTTTCTTATAGGAGAAAAAATTAATCTATTTTTTCTCCACAATTTGTATATTATATTTCATTGTCTTGATTTTTTTTTTATTTATCTTTTTGGCGTAATTTAAAAATTAATTAAATAAATTAATATTTTTTTCTTTTATGGAAAAAAAAATTTTAATTTTCCTATATTAAAAATGATGGAATTTAATTGGTATTTTATTATTATTTATTATTATTTATTATTTCCGTATTATGATAACATATTCCTTTAGCGTGAAAATAATTCCTTGAATTGAATTAATTAACTGCTGCTGCTTAAAGGATGATAATAATTAGAGAATGCATCGGGTGACTGAATATATGAATGGTGGCATTAATTGATTGAAAGAAAATTTTTAAGTGGTCGGAGGGAGAAATATTAAAGAAGAAACAATTAAATGAACTAATTATTTTTACCATTATTGTCATCATTGCCATTGTAATAATAATAAATAACGAAGATTAACCAATAAAAAAAGGTTATCATCGGTCAATGTCGTTATAATAATAAATAACTGACAACAACGACGATATACGTGATTGTTTATAATGGCAATAGTGGTTTTATTATTTACACGCACAAATATTGCCATTACCAAAAATTTGGTTATAAAAAAAACTTGAACTAAATCAAGTAATTAATCCCTTAAACATTTTTTACATGCATCCCATATTACATAATTAAACAGTCGTTTTTTTTTTGTGTAATTTTTTTTTCTTCTTTCTCTTTTACCATAACCATTTATATATGTGTGTGTGTGTATTTATTATTATTTACTTGTAATTGTCTTTGACTCTCGTTAATACTAATCCATCTAAATTAGTTGTTGATTAATTGGCACTTGCGCCCCGCATTTTTTTACAAATAATATTTATTTACTTGTGTTATATATACACAGTATGTTTACGATACAAGATATATTATCTCGTCAATGATTATCATTCGCACTTCGTTCTTTTTTTTTTTTTTTTGGAGATTTTTACCCTCTCGCTTGATTCACTCGCCACCAATTAATTCATTCATACTAAGCCAGAAATCATATAATACATTTATATTATGTGTTTTTGTATATATGTATATTATATCCATCTCCTCTCGTTTATTCAAATTCCTTATTTTTTTTTTGTAATACATGTGTGTGTAATAATAAGAGAGAATATTTAATTGGTTTATTTTAATTGGATTATTACATATAATAATAGTGATGATGATGATAATAATAATAATAATAATAATAATAATAATAAATAAATAATAACAACCTTTAAAACTTTGAAGAAACCATGCAACTTTAAAATAAAATTTTTAACCTCTAGGATTTTTTCCCATTTAATCTAGATATATCATCATCATCGTCACAATGCTATCGCACTATCATCTTCATGCTATTGTTTAATCCACCTCTTGTAAACAAACAATGTATCTTTCTTTTTTTAAAGTCTGAAAGAAATCTCGTTTAATCTTAAGTTTTCAATGAAACCAATTAGCTTTATATGTGTTCTGTTGTTTGTTTTTTATTTCCTTTCATACCCCGCAAAAACCTTAATAAACGATCGTTACATATCTCCATATTTTCTATTTGTTGTTAAAAAAAAATATTTTTTTATCATCCCATATATATATCATATTCGTTTATACACATCATCATAATTACATAATTGTGCAGATGTTACATCATATAATTATAAAAATAGATGATATTGTAGTTTTAACCAATCAATCCCAATTTTATTCGTTCAATTAATCAATCAATCAATCAATCAATCAATCAATTATAAACGGATAATATATATATATATCGAGTTGAATTTTATTATTAACTGTTGACTATTATGTAACTCAATTACAATTTAATTCTTTCGGACCCTTAAAGCAGCACAATGATAATCATTGACGAGATAATATATCTTGTATCGTAAACATACTGTGTATAT